ACGAAATCTTGATTTATCTCTAGTGAGTAAGCAACAGGCTGAAGTGCTGAACAGAATCTATGCTAACAAACCAGGACCATCCCTAATGATGTGTCAGGAAATCAGCAGGGAGATAGGACTCAGAACCGGAACTGTCCAGGCTTGGTTCCGGGAAAAACGCTGTAGAGACTTCGTGTTGCTGAATGAAACATCCAACCCAAGTAAGATTCTTAACAAAATGTCTCAAATTGAAATCTTATTTTTATCTTAGATCTTTCCGCTTAACGTCACAACTTTTATTTTTTTCCAGACCCAGAGAGAGATTTTTTTAGCTGGTTGGAAAATGCCTTGTCTCCAAACTGTATTCCTCCAAATGTAGATCTCACACCTGACGCCATACTTGATGGGGAGGTATATCTCCCGCGCCTTTCGAGGGGCGGATCCCAAATTGGATCTACATATTTTCCGTGTTCTCCAGATCAACAATGGATTCGGTGCAATTCTTCGTAAATCATTAATGAAAAAGTCAATAAAATATATCGAATGTATATATATATATATATATATATATATATATATATATATATATATATATATATATATATATATATATATATATATATATATATATATATATATATTATATTTATATATTACATTTCATGTTTTCAAAATAAATTTGGTGCAAAAAATTTTTGCTTTGTTTTTCTGTTTGTAAAGTTTTTGTTAATTTTGTAAGCCGCATTATTTTTTTTTTACTCAAAGAACCATTATGTTGGAGAGGAACGAATCCTGTGCACAGCTATTTGGATTTTCTACCATTTCCAGCACAATGGACAAAATTTGTTAAACAAAGGGCCAGGTCTTTTTCCAAAGGGAAAAATTAAGAAATGAGGGATGCCATTTGATAGAAGTATACAGAATTAGTTATAGATCGAAAAAGATAAATGTCTTCAACTACACTTTATATTGGTCAATATTATGATGAATGTGATAAGTACGAGATTAAATTAAAGATCTCTTAGGAACTTAATTGAAAAAAAAACATATCAGTAAGATAAACATTTAACCAATTCCTCTGGGGAATTAAGGGACGTCGACCACTACATGTATACAATATTTTGTCTATTTGTCGAAAAATCTTTTTTGGAAGTATTTTGAAAGTAAATACTCATGACATATTTATTTATCAATATGCTCGTGTAATCTTTAAAAATTTCCACTTTGTCAACGCTTACATGTTATTTAGAAATACGAGGGTTGATCCAAAATCAATGTCACTGTGTCCATATCTTTAATGTTTGGCGTCATATTATCAAATTCAATGTACTAAAAGAAAACATAAAAATAAATCAATCAAAATGTAATTGAATTATTAGTTATCGAAGTTGTGACATAACTTTTGGATCAACCCACGTATATGCATTTTTTTCTGTGATGCAAGAATAAAATGTGAATTAAAAAAGTAAATAGTACCAATATCTCTTACAGGTTTAACTATAAATGATGGGAAAATTTCTATTATACAATTATACAATTTTGATGAAAATGAGATCCTTTCGAGTAGCGAAATGGCATTCGGGTTTCAAAGAAGGGGATCCAACTGAAATTAACAATGAATAATATTTAAGTCCCAGGACGGATTTAAAGGTGCACAGAAAACAAAAGTTTGCGTGTTCTTTCTGTCTATAAAAAGAATCTATGTTGGGGTTCTGCAAGGAGTAAAACTCGGACCCTATTTATTTTTGTAGTTTACTAAAGATATACTTGAAATTATAAGGGTACGCTAGGTCATATTCTATTGGAGAGGTAAAACTTGATCGCTACATTGCGGAACATTTCAACGCATTACCGTTAAATTTCCACATTCATTCTTTATTTCCTCCAAACTGGAGATTCGATTTCAGCATTTCAACAGTACACCATATCTAAACAGTCAAATATATTTACAACATTATTGTGTGAAAAAATCAGTTAGATGAAAAACAAATGATAATAGTTATTAAAAAAATAATAAAATAAAATAAATAAATTGTGTGAACATTAAAGGTTACAAGGAAGTGGGAAATCGGAAATAGACCAGATTACTTGGATTGAATCATTCTGTTCTCTGCTATTATGCATAAGATCTTTACATGCAATTCTGATTTTTTTCAATATTTAAAACTATGTTCCGCGTTTAAAAAATACTCTGTGTATACATGTATTGTATGATACTGTATTTATATAAATAAATGAAAAAATATAAATAAATAAATAAAAAAAAAAATATTCTGTAGAAATTTGCTACTGCGTCCCTAATAAATAGGTGAAGTAGGTGAGTTAAATAGGTTAAGATCAGAGTTGTCGAGAGAAACTCTTAAAGTTGGGAAAGATCAGGATACAAGGAGAAACAAGTATAGAATTTGGTAGGAAAGTCCAGAGAGTTCTGCGCCAAAATTGATATTGAAATCTTCGATAATTGTCTCCCACCAGGCATCTCTGTATGAATAAGTTCCAGAGCATGAAGTAGACAGATGTTGAAAAACACTTGTAAACGATCTTTTACAAATCGGGCAAGATTCCTCTGGAATATCCAAAAGAGTCCCGAGTTTAGTGATAAATTTGCATAGCTGGATTTCGTAAGTGTTTGAAGGGAATGGACCAGAGGACTTAAGGCGATTTTCCCAAGCACAGAATATTAAACCGCGAGAAATTGCAGTTATTATTCACTCTTGTTGAGATGATGAGACATGAGCAAAAACAGATGTTCTGACAGTTCTTTTTCACTCAGATTTGGAGGGAAAGAACTTCACACATATACTGTTTAAGGAAGTGACAGAGGTTGTATTTGGACAGTACTGATATAATATCCGGAATGAATCCATGAGTTACGATATTTCTGTTTTGAAGGTAGTCAAAAAGGCGATACAGGAGTATCTGTTTTGTGAGAATACTGGGATCTAATTCGCAAAGACGTCCAAAGAATTGTAGCTCATTAATGTCAATTTCAGCGGATATTGGAATAAGACCAAGTAGGCTCTCACACTTGCCGGATCTTGTTTCTTTAGGTAGAGACATGGTACATTTGTAAATAAAATGCTGAAAAGTGATGTGAGCTTTTGTATCCATTTGCCGGAGATCACACCATAATTCGCTTCCATATAAGGAGACGGAGCACCACCTTCTTGTACAAGTTTGCAACAGTCACTGAATTTAAATGTTCACACGCCTTCAGAGCAAGATAGTCTTGGCGTCCCTTCCTACAAGCATTGCAAGTTCTCTCGCTCGGATTCATCTTGCAGTGTAGGAAAATCCCAAGACGGTTATAGGTCTCAGATAGATGAACAGGTTCTTCACCTATCCTCCAGGACAGAGAGGTAGCAAGGCGGTTACCGGATCGGGTAAAGAAAAGTACACTTGACTTGCTGGCATTAATTTGATTCGCCAACGCGTGAAATAATTGTACGCAATGTCGAGCATCTTCCGAAGCCCTACAGGTGAGAGAGCTATGTAAAAAATGTCGTCAGCGAGAGATGGATTTGAACTGGAAATACTGTGAACACTAAATACAAGAAAGTAGAGAGCACTCCTCCCTGTCCTACACCTTGGGAAACAGGAAACCATTCGGATGGCAACAGAATAGGATGCGTCGTTGTGGCAGTCATCACTGAGAGACCACAAGAGGCCAGATATGCTAGCTGATATAATTTATACATTAGGTCATGTCTCCAGACAGTATCAAAGGCCTTCTGAGTGTCAAGAAAGACAAGAAAAACTGGGCTTCCGTGTTCAATATTGTGAAATATTAATTGTCTCTTGTAGGTTGAAAGAAGCAGTAACACAACCTAACTTTTGTTGGAATCCTTGTTGTTGGGGATTGGGGAAATGGATATTCGGCAAATGAAATGTCTTTATCCTCGTTGACAACATTTTTTCAAATAATTTAAAGAGACAAGGAAGCAAAGCAATTGACCTGTAGCTATCGGGGGCCTTCCTTGGTTTATTGCTGCCTTTATAGATCGGGTTGATGAGATCGCGCTTCCATATTGTGGACATCTTGCCTATCTTTATGATGGAGTTAAAAAGGTAAACAATGCAATTGGTTAGGCCAAAGCCTCCGCAACCAAACTTTGCATGTATAGTAATTTGTATCTTTTGCAACTTCTAATTCATTACACTAGATTCCCTTTGCTTATACTACTTTTGCATTACATTGGACAGTGTCAATGACCCATCATTTAATAACTGGCAACTATACAATGGTCCTCCGCAATCTCATTGGAAACAGCGTAAACTATAAATCATTTACTTCTCTTAGTGTGATCTTCTGTTCGTAGCACATCCTGCCAAAACTTCAAATACTAGTATTCTTTGGCGCAGGTGAGCCAACAAATATGTATAAGATTAAGATTCTCCCCATAATTTTCCTGACACAACTGAACAGTGATAACGTATAGTTGGAAACTAACGACAGATCGTCGTTTTTGAAAAGATCGTTGAGATCGGTGACGAACAGTAAGCAATACTAGTATGTACATTTGAATTGATTGAATTACCTTGTTCCTTGGGACTTGGAGCAATCGTAAAAATAAAAAAGAATAAAATAAAAATTATCTCAAGTTTCAGACCTATCTTTCTTGGGTAAAATCGTATTTGCTAAGGGACCCAGGATAAGGTTATAATAAACCAGAGGGGGGTGGGGTGGTGGTCTTGACAAATACTATGAAATAAATTGAAGAATTTTACATGTTTTACAAGAAGAAGAATGTTACATATTGCCTATTTATCTGAAAGCCTTCAGATTTCATGTAAATATTAACGAAGGTACCCAATTATGATTGTTCGTTCAGGCAATTCAAATTTTAAAGAATTTTAGTAATAAAACCTATAAAAGACGCATAAGCAAATACAAGCTCACTATTATAGATAATAGGTACTGCATGGTTTAGAACTGTATTGCAGACAGGGGAAAGGGGTTATTTTTTTCCCTGTTCGACCGTATTTTACGTTATCATGATTAACACCTCAACCTGATTCAATATCACAAAACACAGACTTCCTGTTTAATGCAACATGCATATATGTTTTTGTCATCTCGAGTATTGGGGATCTTCAGATAAATAACACCGCTATTACTAAGACCACTCCCCCTCCTCAGGTAACCGCACGGTAAAAAAGATTGGGGATAAACAAAGCTGAGCTCCTGTATTTACTACCGGTATATAAGTGGAATGGATGTGTATACATGTATTCTTTTATTTACCAGTTAAGAAAAAGAAACGTGCGTTTTCTTCGTTTATAATGTCGTGGAGTTGAATGACTCCCAACAGCCAATTATTAAAATTAATAAATGCATGTTATAATTAAACACATCCCACACACTATTTTGGGATTAGCGTCCTTATCCCTTATAAGATATGGGGGAAATTTTCATTGTCTTTAAACAAGGAAGTTATGAAAGATATACCTTTTCAAAGTTTGTTAAAGAAATTCGTTCATCAGAAGGAAATAACAATTTTATGATTGAAAACTCTGTGGAGGGGAGTAATTCTTACCAATCCCGGCCGGGGATCCA